ATGTAAATGATATCTTGAGGCTTTGAAATTTCGGATTGCACATCGTAGTGCTATATTGAGGTGAGACACGCACTGGATGATGAGCGTGGGGTCTTTTACTTCTGGGGATTGTGACTCGGTCCATCCCGATTGATGATTTTACCGCGTATTTGACTGAAACTTGTTAATTATCATCATGATTTGGGTCGATTGCCATATTTGGGCTTCGTGCCAATTATTTGAACCCTTCGGGGATTTTTATCACTATTTCCTCACTGTTTCGACTTATTGCTTGAACTCAGTCCTGTTGATATCTACTATTTTACGAACTCAGCCACCTTTTATTCAGATTTGAAACTTAAATGATATTTCTAAATGATGTTTTGGGCTGAGAACTACTATTTTACTAATGCCCGAGGGGCTTGTGATGATATCTGACTGAGTGCGGCCGAGGGCCATATGTGAGGATACACTGAGTGATATGAGGCCGAGGGCCTGAGATACATTTATACGCCACGAGGTGGCTTGAGTGATGTGAGGCTGAGTGCCGAGAGATGATTCCAAGAGGTGGCTTGATATAGCGCTTGGGCCGTAAGGGGCCCCTCCGGAGTCTGCACACGCACAGTGAGCGCGGGTACCCATTGTTCTGAGAGTGAGCCCGAGGGGCTGAGATTGTTCTGAGAGTGAGCCCGAGGGGCTGAGAGTGTTCTGAGAGTGAGCCCGAGGGGCTGATACTATTCTAAGAGTGAGCCCGAGGGGCTGGTATTGTTCTGAGATATGTGCCCGAAGGGCGAACCTTTATGTGTTCATCTTTCATATTTACTAGTCATTTTACCTGTTATATTGTGGTATTTGTGCCCGAGGGGCGGATTTTTGGTGCTTATCGACACTAACTATTTTGCATTCATTGCGTAACTGTTGAAAAAGTCATTTTCAAAAGAGTTTAAACTGAGGTAAGATATTTCTAAAGATTTCACAGCTTCACTGTTTTTCTCAAAGTGTTTTACACTGCTTCTATACAGCATATTGGTTTGCTTTACGTGATTTCTTACTGCTCAGTTGTTATTTACCTTTATTACTCACTGAGTTGGAGTACTCACTTTACTCCCTGCACCGTGTGTGCAGATGCAGGTATTTTTGCACCCGATAGTGGGTTTTGACGGAGCGGAGGCAGAGTTATCGGAGTTAGCAAGGTGACTGCCAGCGTTCGCAGCACCGCTTTTCTCCCTTTGTTTATCAGTCCTGTTTCGTATATTTCAGACCTTATAGTTGTATTTATACTCTAATAGATGCTTGTGACTTGTGACACCCCGGTTTGGGCTGTGTCGGGTTGTACTTCCGCTAATTATTATCATTAAATCATATTTAAAATGTTTATGAACTGTTTAATTATTTTAAAAGGATGAATCGGGTTTAGTTGGCTGGACTTGTCCCCACGAGAGGCACCATCACCACCGGGTCTGGGTTTGGGTCGTGACATATGCGTATGCCTATGTCTTTGCCTCCACCCCAGGGCTATTCTGAGCTGCCACAGCATCACAAGCCCTATACCTTCGTGCAGACACCAGGTCTTTCGTCACAGGGCTATAGGACTATACGTCCAACATACAGTCCACCTGCCTCACGACCACATGGATCGCATCCATCTACATCGCATGGATCGCATCGATCCATGTCACATCCACATGGATCACAGCCATCAGTGTCACAGCCACTCGGGTCATAGCTATCAGTGTCACAGCCACTTGTGGGCCATCCAGCTATGTCGCAGTCAGAGGGATCGCAACCATCTTCATCAGGGACTCCATCTATTTCAGGCCTTCGCCTGCGAGATACATGCTTCGGACGGTGATGTTGATGATGACGAGGAGGTGCATTATGATCAATATGGCAGGATCATCATAGTCCCTGAGGGTGATGGGTAAGAGTTATTTGTTATTTTTACGTTTATTGTTTTGTACTGTTTTTACTAAGATATTAATGTGTTTTTTTTATTAAATTGCAGGTTCATCCCTAGTAATATTACTACGAGGATAATCACCAAAGCCACCAGAAAGCTTTATGATGGGCCTTATGCGACTTGGAGCGAATTCCCATTCTCACTGAAGGAGCAAATTTTCAATCAATTTAAGGTATAAATGTTCTTTTAAGCAGTATAATTATTTATATTTATGATATTTCCATATAATACTTGACTTTTGAAATACAGAGCAAGTGTGTATGGGAACACCGCTATAGCGCGGAAGTGGCTGCAAACTTTCATCTCAAAGCTCGCAAGCGGTTGTCGCATTGTTTCTCCAAAGCTAGAAAGTTGAACCAGAAGCCTGACTGGTTGCTCCAGAATTTATGGGAGGATTTGCAAAGGCAATGGCTTTCCGCAAAGTTCTTAGAGAAGAGCGAAAAAGGAAAGAAAGCTCGCGCATCTGAGAAGGGAGGATCCTTGCACACTGGAGGTGCGATCAGCCTAGGGACAATAAAAAGAAGAATGGTACGTAATTGCTTAATTTATTTTAATTTTCAAAGCATATCTATTCTGTTTATTAACTAAAATTTATGAGTTTTCAGGAAAGTTGGGGCGTCCGATGAACCAAGATGAGCTATTCAGGGAGACTCATATTGTAAAAAAGAAGAAAGAGACGGATCAAGAAAGGTGGGTCGAGGGCCGAGCCTCGACTGTACATGTAAGTTTTCACATTTCATTAAGTATTTTGATTTACTTTTATATAAATTTTGAAATACTAATTCAATGTAATTTTTCTTATAGGGTCGCTTCACAACTGAACTGCAGGAATTCATACGCAGTCAGCCACCTAATGAGTCGGGCGAGCCAATCCCACCTTCGGACGAGGATGCTGAAAGAATGTGGACGGAGGCTGCTGGCGGTCCAAAATGGGGGAAGGTATACGGGCTTCCTACTAAGAAATTCCATCGCTATAAGTGTGGAATGCAAGGAATAGGGACTTCCT